TATCTTATCCATCTATCTATCATTTATCATCTACTTCTCTATTCTATTCTATCTATCTATCTATCTATCCTATTTTCTCTATCTATCTATCTATCTATCTATCTATCTATATCTATCTATCTACATCTCTATTGATTATCTATCTATCTATCTATCTATCTATCTATCTATCTATCTATCTATCTATCTATCTATCTATCTATATCAGTGGTTCTCAACCTTTCTAATGCCATGACCCCATAATACAGTTCCCCATGTTGTGGTGACCCCCAAGTGGGTGTGGCCACCAATAAGAGGGAGTAGGACAGCTAGGGAAAAGGGAACAAAATGGTGGACAGCATGGTTTGGCGCCCACCATGAAATGGTCGTTCGACCCCAAATGGGGTCCCGACCCACAGGTTGAGAACCACTGATCTATATCCATCCATTTATCTATATCTATCTATCTATCTATCTATCTATCTATCTATCTATCTATCTATCTATCTATCTATCTATCTATCCTATTTTCCCTATCTATCTACATCTATCGATTATCTATCTACATCTCTATTGATTATCTATCTATCCTATTCTCTCTCTCTCTCTCTCTCTCATATATCACCTGTCACCTATCTACAGTATCTATCATCTATCATAATCTGCACATATCTATCTCTCTATGTCACAGCTATACTCTCTCTCTCTCTCTCTCTCTCTCTCTCTCTCTCTCTCTCTCACACACACACACACACACACACACACACACACACACACACACACACATATTTATATCCTGTCCATCTCACTGTTTGGGCTAATTCTAGGTGGCTTACAATATAGTAAAACGAGATATATTTTTTTCACTCTTTTTTTTCGCCATCTTTTTTCCATTATCCTTTTCTAGTAACTCTTCCTATTCTTGGGACTTTCCAAGATCAGCCAGGAGGTTCCAGCTCCTCCATGTGAAAGCAATCCTGCCTTTTTTCTTTTTTCTTTTTCCAGTTGCAGCACCAGCAGCAGCCGCTCTCCGGGTGCTGGGGGGGGGGACTGAATGGGGGCTCCTGCACGGAGCGGAGAATTCAGAAGCAGGAAACCTAAATGGCCCCTTTTAACTGCGGGGCTGTTATAAATCAGTCAAGGGAATGAAACACAAACGGTCTCCGGCCCACGTTTAATCATCGTTCTCCGCTATGACTTCATGGTGAGAAGAAAGATTACCGGCCTGTCTCTGCCTTCGCCGGGAACAACCTTGCAGGCTATGATTATCGGGGATGGCTGCATTTGCATTTCCACTCTGCCTCCGGGAAGGTTTTATCAGGAACGGCTTGTTTTGCTAATTATATTGTGTCAATAGGGAGCTCCTGTCTTTGTTATTACAGTAATTTGCTCCCCAGCATGGGGGAGCCTTTCTTCTTGGGTCCTCCGCTTCGCTTCCCGATGCGGCTTTTGTCACGGCGGCTCCCCAATTTTTCTATTAATTTTAAAGGATGCTGCAGAAGTCAGCACCGGTCCTGGGCAACGGGTTGGCCCTTGGCGCCCTCTGGTGGCCAGGCCAGGAACGGAGGCTCAGTGGGGACCTGATTTTGGCATCAAAGCTTTGAAGAGACACACAGATACACAAACGTGAACACACACACACACACACACACACACACAGAAACAGACACAAAAAGACGTTTGGCTGAACCTTCCCTTTTTGTCCGAAAAGGTATGGGGTTTCCTGCCTGAGCAGGGGGCTGGACTAGATGACCTCCAAGATCCCTTCCAACTTTACTATTATTATTATTATTACTATTATTATTACTATTATTACTATTATTATTACTATTATTACTATTATTATCGTTATTATCATTGTTGCTATTATTATTATTATTATTATTATTATTATTATTATTATTATTATTCTGGGAGATCAGTTTATACAGGGGGTCCTCGACTTCACAGCCACAGCTGGGACCAGAATTTCCAGGGCTAAGCAAAACAGGCTGTTACTACTACTACTACTACTACTACTACTACTACTACTACTACTACTACTACTACTACTACTATTATTATTATTATTATTATTATTATTGATCATCGCACAGTCAGCCAGATGTTCAGACTGAATTTGGCATTTTGTCTACCTATCGAGTCCTTACCCAGGACCTGGGATAGGCAGATGTGGATGTTTGATGGTATTACAGGTATCGTCGCAGGATGGAAGCAGTTCCTAGCAAGGCCGCCTTTTGCAATTGACTAATAGCAAATTTGTCAATGCCAATGGTGTTCAAGTGGTGCTCCAGTTGTTTTGGGATTGCACCCAAGGAGCCTATGACTATTGGTACTACCCTTGCTTGCTTTTGCCACCGTCTTTCTATTTCTATTTGTAGGTCTTTGTATTTTGTGATCTTCTCCAGTTCTTTCTCGTCTATTCTGCTGTCTCCAGGCACTGCCACGTCCACTATCCAGACTTTTTTGTCTTTCTTATCGACAGTTGTTAAGTCTGGGGTGTTATGTTGTGGTTGTTGTTATTATTATTATTATTTTAAGTGAGTCGGGCAAGGGCTGTTAAATGAATCGCTGCAGTCGTTCAACAAAATACATGGTCGTTAAACAAATCCAACTTTCTTCATTGGCTTCGCTTGTGGGAAGCTAGCCAGGAAGGTCAAAAAGGATTAATCACATCACCCCGGGGATATTGCACAAATACACAAATAGATTGAATTTTGATCACGTGACCATGGGGATGCTGCAACGGTTGTAAAGTGTGAGAGCCAATCCTAAGTTCCCTTGTTTTCAGTGCTGTTATAAATTCAGCCTCTAAACAAATGTCTGTAGATCGAGGACTACCTGAACAGCGTCAATTCTTTGATTGTTGTGGACTTGACATTTCCAGGCACAAATGACAGATCTCCAGAGAGTTGTGGAGAAGGACTGCAGACATGAGAATAATTGGAAGTTTCTATGATTTTAGTTTTTTCTCTATTTATCAGTCCTGCTCTCTTTCCAAACCGTTCTATCTTTTCCAATAATTTAGGAATTCTCTGTAAAGGTTCCTCTCTAGGATGAATACCAAGTTTGTCTGCAAATGCTTGCAACTTATAAGTTTCACCTTTTATTTCCAGTCATTTAATTTCTGAATCCTGTCTAATGGTTCTATTTAGAGCAGTGGTTCTCAACCTTTTTAATGCCGCGACCCTCCAATCAGTCGTAAGTCGAGGACTACTCAACCGGTCGTAAGTCGAGGACTACTCAACTGGTGCAGTACTGTTTGCAGACTGGGACTTTTGGCGGGTTCAGCAGGGCAGAGACAGCCTGGACAATTCCTATTGGCTTTTGAAAGCCAATAGAATTAGACTCTATTCAAGAGAGTCTATTCTATTGGCTTCCAAAAGCCAATAGAATAAAAGGGAGTAGCACAGCTAAGGAAAAGGGGAAAAAAATGGCGGACTGCGTTGTTTGGCGACCCCCCGTGAAATGGTCGTTCGACCCCAAATGGGGTCCCGACCCACAGGTTGAGAACCGCTGATTTAGAGCTTCCAACGTTAAAATAAATAACAAGGGGGACAGTGGAAGTTGCAATCCAAGGTAAGCTTAGTTTTTTTCCAAATTCCTGGCAGGTGGAAGAGAAATTTGGGAAAGATGTAGAATAGAATAGAATAGAATAGAATAGAATAGAATAGAATAGAATAGAATAGAATAGAAGAGTTGGGTGGGACCTTGGAGATCATCTAGTTCAACCCCCTGCTCAGACAGGAAACCCACTATCATTTCAAACAAATGGTTGTCCAATCTCTTCTTAATAACTTCCGGTGTTTTTGTAGATATCCTGCTAAAACCAGGGCCAGGCGCACGGTGCCACAAAGGAGCTACCTTCTGCAGAGCAACAATCCCTCCAGACTCTTGCAACTCCTGATTTGTTTTTTTTTTAAATTTCTTTCATTTGTTAAATTTATATGCCGCCCCTCTCACCGATCAGATGACTCTGGGCAGCATTTATTGCCATGAATTTCCTCTGCAGCCAAGAAAGCAGGAGACGGTGAGTTCTAGACCAGCTGGGTGACTGTGGACCAATCACTGGGAGACGGTGAGTTCTAGTCCCGCCTTAGGCACGAAAGCTGGCTGGGTGACTGTGGGCCAATCACTGGGAGACGGTGAGTTCTAGTCCCGCCTTAGGCACGAAAGCCGGTTGGGTGACTGTGGGCCAATCACCAGGAGACAGTGAGTTCTAGTCCTGCCTTATGCATGAAAGCTAGGTCGGTGACTGTGGGCCAATCACCAGGAGACGGTGAGTTCTAGTCCCGCCTTAGGCACGAAAGCCGGCTGGGTGACTTAGGGCCAATCATTGGGAGACAGTGAGTTCTAGTCCTGCCTTGCACATGAAAGCTAGGTAGGTGACTGTGGGCCAATCACCAGGAGACGATGAGTTCTAGTCCCGCCTTGGCACGAAAACCGGCTGGGTGACTGTGGGCCAATCACCAGGAGGTGGTGAGTTCTAGTCACGCCTTAGACATGAAACCCAGCTGGGTGACTTAGGGCCAATCATTGGGAGATGGTGAGTTCTAGTCCCGCCTTACGCATGAAAGCTAGGTAGTCCCATTTTAGGCATGAAAACCAGCTAGGTGACTTTGGGCCAATCACCAGGAGACGGTGAGTTCTAGTCCCGCCTTAGACATGAAACCCAGCTGGGTGACTTAGGGCCAATCATTAGGAGACGGTGAGTTCTAGACCAACTGGGTGACTGTGGGCCAATCACTAGGAGACAGTGAGTTTTAGTCCCGCCTTAGGCACGAAAGCCGGCTGGGTGACTGTGGGCCAATCACCAGGAGGTAGTGAGTTCTAGTTCCGCCTTAGACATGAAACCCAGCTGGGTGACTTAGGGCCAATCGTTGGGAGACGGTGAGTTCTAGTCCCGCCTTAGGCCTGAAAGCCAGGTGGATGATTTGGGCCAGACCCTTTTTCTGAGCCCTAGGAAGGAGGCAATGACAAACCAAGAAAATCTTGCAAGTAAACTGTGAGGACTAATCAGCTGTGGTTGAACAGAAGAAGATGGGGGGCGTGGGGGGGGTGGAGATAATTTTAGTGTTTTATGTCCCAAACGGCCCCCAAGATTTCAGGGTCTCTGCGGCTGCTGCAGCTCAAGCAGGGGACGGGGGGATTTCCCGTTTTTTGCTCCCTCCTTCTTCGACTCTGTCTGCTCGTCCCGCGACCCACAGAACCGGATTTGGAAGAGGAAGCTGCAGGGGAAGAGGAAGCTGCAGGTCTGTTTTTATCAGCATGTATCCCTGCAGGGAGGAAAAGAAACACATGGAGGTAACATTTAACACTAGGGGGTTGGACTAGAAGACCTCTAAAGTCCCTCCCAACTCAGATATTCTATTCTATTCTATTCTATTCTATTCTATTCTATTCCATTCTATTCCATTCCATTCCATTCCATTTTCTATTCCATTCCATTTTCTATTCCATTCCATTTTCTATTCTATTCTATTCTATTCTATTCCATTCCATTCTATTCTATTCTATTCTATTCTATTCTATTCTATTCTATTCTATTCTATTCTATTCCATTCCATTTTCTATTCTATTCTATTCTATTCTATTCTACTCTACTCTATTCTATTCTATTCCATTCCATTCCATTTTCTATTCTCAGCATCTTTTTTACATCATGGTGACCAAAACTGGATGGAGGATTCTATCCCCCCCGACTCCCTTGCTTAGGTACCCACCTCATGCATGGAGACTTCAGGGTCCACCAGGCTGGCCCCGTAGATGTTGGGAAGCAGCTTTCCTGCTCGGAGCTTCCCTAAGAAAAGAGGAAGGATGGTCCTAAGGGAGAAAAACGGCCTCCAAGAAGCCGGGGCTCCCAGCTCCAGCCAAAGGGAGGGGTGCACCCCTTGGGAAAATGGGGAGGTGGGTCCGGACTCACTGTTCAGCCCTGCTAAGGCCACATGCCCAGCCAGCTTCAGGAGAGTCTCCAGAGAGAACAGCTGTGCAAGAAAAACAGCCCAGTTAGGCCCAGAATTATGGAATTGTGACTTATTTCAGTCGGAATAGAGCTGGAAGGGACCTTGGAGGTCATCTAGTCCAGCCCCCTGCTCAATCAATCAATCAATCAATCAATTAATCAGAATAGAAGGGACCTTGGAGGTCTTCTAGTCCAGCCCCCTGCTCAATCAATCAATCAATCAATTAATCAGAACAGCTGGAAGGGACCTTGGAGGTCGTCTAGTCCAGCCCCCTGCTCAATCAATCAATCAATTAATCAGAACAGCTGGAAGGGACCTTGGAGGTCTTCTAGTCCAGCCCCCTGCTCAATCATTCATTCAATCAATCAATAAATCAATCAATCAGAACAGAGCTGGAAGGGACCTTGGAGGTCTTCTAGTCCAGCCCCCTGCTCAATCATTCATTCAATCAATCAATAAATCAATCAATCAGAACAGAGCTGGAAGGGACCTTGGAGGTCTTCTAGTCCAGCCCCCTGCTCAATCATTCATTCATTCAATCAATCAATCAATCAATCAATCAGAACAGAGCTGGAAGGGACCTTGGAGGTCTTCTAGTCTAGCCCTCTGCTCAATCATTCATTCAATCAATCAATCAATCAGAATAGAGCTGAAAGGGACCTTGGAGGTCTTCTAGTCTAGCCCCCTGCTCAATCAATCAATCAGAACAGCTGGAAGGGACCTTGGAGGTCTTCTAGTCCAGCCCCTGCTCAAGCAGGAGATCCTATATTAACATTCCAGATAGGGAAATGTCATTTCGTAATTATGAAATTATGAAACCAGAATGATGAAAACTGGCAATGATGAGGGTAGTCCATAGGGAGGAGGTCGGAAAAACAACACGGCGGCAATCAAAGGCAGGCAGCCCTCATTTAGTGACCATTTGAAGTTGCAACGGCACCGGAAAAAAGGGACCAATGACTGTTTTTCACACTTGCGACCGTGATGACATCCCCAGGGGGTCCTGCGATCGACATTTTCACCGTTGCTAGGCAACTGGTTGCCACGTTGCTAAGGGAGAGTGTTGTTAAATGAGTTCTGCCTCATTTTATGACCTTTCTTCCCACGGTCATTAACCGAGTAGACGGCCGTGGTTAAGCGAGTGAAAGGGTCGTGACGTGAATTTGACTTCCCCGTCGACTTTGCTGATCAGTCGGTTACCAAAGGGGATCACATGACATGGCAGGAGGAGAAGGCAGTCCTCAACTTACAACGGTTCATTTTGCGACCGTTCAAAGTCACAACAGAAGGGGGGGCGAAAAAGTCCCTCGTCGCCGTTTTTCACCTTTACGACCGTTGCGGCATCCCCCAGGGTCACGTGATCAAAATCCAGACGCTTGGCAACTGGCTTGTACTTACGATGGTTGCAGCGTCCCCCGGGGTCACGCAATCTTCCTTTTGCGACCTTTTGACAAGCCAAGTCAGTGGGGGAAGCCGGATTCGCTTAACGACTGGGTGATTAACTTGGCAAGCGCATTGATTCACTTAACAACCGAGGCAAGAAAGGTCGTACAACGGGGAAAAACTCACTTAATACAAGTCTCGCTTAGCAACATAAATGTTTGGCTCCATTATAACTCGAGGATCACCTGTAATTTGCTTCACCACACATCGGTTCTGAGATAGGGGATATCTCAGTTAACGACTGCCTTGCTTAGCAATAGAAGGATGGTCGTAAGATGAGGACTACCTATGTTTAAGGAGATCCAAATGGGGCAGAGACTCTCACTCAAGCACGCTCCAGTCAGTCCCCGCAGTGAATTTTTTTCTGCTCGCACTCTGACTCACTCACCTTGATCTCACCGATCCTGGACCACTCCTGAGACAAGCGCAAACTGTGGGGGACACAAGACGACAGGAAATCTTGACCAAAGGCTCTTTCTACAGCAGTGGTTCTCAACCTTTTTAATGCCGCGACCCCCAACCGGTCGTAAGTCGAGGACTACTCAACCGGTCGTAAGTCGAGGACTACTCAACTGGTGCAGCACCGTTTGCAGAATGGGACTTTTGGCGGGCTCAGCAGGGCAGAGACAGCCTGGACAATTCCTATTAGCTTTTGAAAGCCAATAGAATGAGACTCTATTCAAGAGAGTCTCTTCTATTGGCTTTCAAAAGCCAATAGAATAAAAGGGAGGAGCACAGCTAAGGAAAAGGGGAAAAAAATGGTGGACTGCGTTGTTTGGCGACCCCCGTGAAATGGTCGTTCGACCCCAAATGGGGTCCCGACCCACAGGTTGAGAACCACTGTTCTACAGCCTCAAGGGAGCCCACCGCCAACCCATGGCCCCCGTCCCACATTGAGCTGCGCCTGGGATTCCCATGGAGCACTGAGGCTAAAATACACAAAGAACAGTTGCTGGAATTGGGTCTGTCTAGTTTAAGGAAGAGAAGGACAAGGGGGACATGATAGCAAGCTTCCAGTATCTCAGGGGCTGCCCCAAAGAAGAGGGAGTCAAGTTACTCTCCAAAGCACCTGAAGGCAGGACAAGAAGCAACAGGTGGAAACTGATCAAGGAGAGAAGCAACCTGGAATTATGGAGAAACTTCCTGACAGTGAGGACAAGTAACCAGTGGAACAACCTGCCTCCAGAAACTGTGAATGCTCCAACACTGGAAGTTTTTAAGAAGAGACTGGACAGCCGTTTGTCTGAAATGGTATAGGGTTTCCTGGCTGAGCAGGGGGTTGGACTAGATGACCTCCAAGGTCCCTTCCAACTTGATTATTGAATTTTTTATTCTTTGTTCTGTTCTATATTCTATTCTATTCTATATTTTATTCAATTCTATTCATTCTATTTTCTATTTTTTTTATTCTATTCTATACTATTTTCTATTCCTGTTCTGTGTTCTATTGCGTTCTATGTTCTGTGCTATATTCTATTCTACTGTAATTTCTATATTCCATTCATTCCATTTTCTATTTTGTTTTCTATATTCTATTCTATTCTATTCTATTCTATTCTATTCTATTCTATTCTATTCTATTCTATTTTCTGTTCTATTCTATTATGTTCTATGTACTATATTCTATTCTATGTTCTATATTTTCTATTTTCTATTCTATTCTATTTTCTATTCTATTCTATTCTATTCTATTTTCTGTTCTATTCTATTATGTTCTATGTACTATATTCTATTCTATGTTCTATATTTTCTATTTTCTATTTTCTATTCTATTTTCTATTCTATTCTATTCTATTCTATTCTATTCTATTCTCTTTGAATTTTGATCACGTGACCCCTGGGAAAGCCTCAACAGCCATAAGTGTAAAAAAATGGCCGTAAGCCACTAATAATAATAATAATAAAGTTGGAAGGCACTCTGGAGGTCATCTAGTCTATCTCCCTGCTCAGGCAGGAAACCCTATACCATTTCAAACAAATGGTTATCCAGCCTCTTCTTTAAAGCCTCCAGTGTCAGAGCATTCACAGCTTCTGGAGGTAGGTCATTCAGCGTCACTGGAAGTTTGAACGGTCACTAAATGAACTGCCGTTAAGTTGAGGACTCTCTGTCCCTGCCGGTCGGCAAGCCCCTTCGGTTTTATCACCCGAGCGACGGACGCTGCCTCCGTTTCTAAAATCTGGCCGTTTTAAGCCCCAGTTTTCGGTGCCCTCCTAACCGCTCCGCTCCATGAGCGGTCGTAAGTCCGAGGACTGCAGGAAAACGGAGGAGGAGAAAGGCTTTGGGACGGCGGGTGGGGAAGGGGTGCGAGGGGAGGGAGACTCACTCTTTCAGGGCCAACGAGCCCCCCACCTTGGCCAAGGAATCGCCCGAACGGACGGCTTCCAGGGAGATCTGCCCGGTGAGGTCGCAGTCCTGGGAGAGTCGGAGGGAAACGTAGTTCAGGTGCAGAAGAGTCCGGAGCACCTACTCCACGGTGTAGGGGAAGCAAGATGGGCTGCCTGAGTAGTGGGGAGGGGGGGTCTCATGGGGTCTCTGAAGGCAGCCAGACCTTCTGGAAATACTCGAAGTGCACGGGATCAAGTAAGACCATGCCTGACGTGCATGCGTGTTCTATGCATGTTCACTGGTCCTTTCTGTGTTGGGGGCCTCCTTCTGTCTTTCCCATCCTCCTCCTCTTCTGTCCTTCTTCTTTTCTCCTGCTCCTTCCTCTTCTCTTTCCCCTCCTTCCTCCTCCCCTTCCTCCTCCTCCTCTCCCCTTTCTCCTCTTCCTCCTATTTCCTATTTCTTCCACCTCTTCTTCTTCTCCTCCTCCTCCTCCACCTTCCTCTTCCTCCTCCCCCTCCCGATTCCCTCCTTCTCCTCTCCTCTTACTCTTTTCTCCTCCTTTCTCCTGTTTTCTCTTCCACCTCTTCTCTTCCTCTCCTTCTCCTCTTCTCTTCCTCCTCTCTCCTGTTTCATCCTCCATCTCCTCCTCTTCTCTCCCTTCTCCTTCCCCTCCCTATTTCCTCTTTCTCCTTCTCCTCTCTATTTCCTCCTCCACCTCTTCTCTTCCTTTCCTTCTCCTCCTCTCTCCCATTTCCTCCATCTCTTCTCTTCCTTTTTCCCTTCTCTTCCTCCACCTCCTTCCTCTTCCTCCTCCTCTCTCCTGTTTCATCCATCTCTTCCTCTTCTCTTCCTCCCCTTACCCCTCCCTCCTATTTCCTCTTTCTCTTCCTCCTCTCTATTTCTTCCTCCACCTCTTGTCTTCCTTCTTCTCTTCTCTTCTCTTCCTCCTCCTCCTCTTCCTCCTTCTCCTATTTCCTCCTCCACCTTTCTTCTGTTCCTCCTCCTCCTCTCTATTTACTCCTCCATCTCTTCTCCTCTTCCTCCTCCACTTCCTCTTCCTTCTTCTTTTCTCTTTCTCCTCTCTATTTCCTCCTCCGTCTCTTCTTCTCTTCCTCCCCTGCCTCTCCTATTTCCTCCTCCTCTTCCTTCTTCTCTTCTCTTCCTCCTCTCTATTTACTCCTCCATCTCTTCTCCTCTTCCTCCTCCACTTCCTCTTCCTTCTTCTTTTCTCTTTCTCCTCTCTATTTCCTCCTCCGTCTCTTCTTCTCTTCCTCCCCTGCCTCTCCTATTTCCTCCTCCTCTTCCTTCTTCTCTTCTCTTCCTCCTCTCTATTTCCTCCTCCGTCTCTTCTCCTCTTCTTCCCCTGCCTCTCCTATTTCCTCCTCCACCTCCTCTTCCTTCTTCTCTTCTCTTCCTCCTCTCTCTTTCCTCCTCCATCTCTTCTCCTCTTCCTCCCCTGCCTCTCCTATTTCCTCCTCCTCCTCCTCTTCCTTCTTCTCTTCTCTTCCTCCTCTCTATTTCCCCCTCCATCTCTTCTCCTCTTCTTCCCCCTCCCTCCTGTTTCCTCCTCTTCTTCTCCCTCCCTTTCTTTCTAATCTGACAGAACTGCTTAGCCGAGTGTCATCTCCGCCCGGCTCCTTCCGTGCAGCTCCCTCCTTTCCCTGCTCCGATGCTTACCACGCTGAGGGTGAAGACGGGCACCAGGCTGCTGTCGGGCAGGACCACAAAGGCCTCCGCCCGGCCCAGGATGCTGACATCCAGGCCCTCGGGGTGGAAGTGCAGCTTCGGCTCCTTCCGCGCTTCCAGGTGCAGCTCCATGGGGCTCTCCGGAAACTGCCTCTTCAGCTGGAGAGGAAGAAGAGCAGAGGCTGCAGATCCACCCGAGATCCACAGATCCCCCGCCAGCTATCTCGCCCGGCCCGATTCCCCCCCCAACCCATCCGTTCTCTTTTTTTTTTAAATGAGAAAACGTTTATCGATTTTCTCATTTTCCATTTAAATATTTGAAAAGCAAAAATTCAGTAACGCACAAATATCTTTAGTACCAATCTCAAACCTATTACATTAAATATTTCCTCTCTTTCCCCCCTGGTATTTACTACCTCCTATTTAAATTAATACCCATTCTTATGATGTTGATGAAATAAAAATAGCTTTCTGACGTTGATCAATCATGTTTCGTTTATACCTATCCTCGTTGTTTTTTAACCTTCAATCTTTTTTAGACCGTCCATGTCCTGGTTAGTTTTCCCCAGTTTTGCGTTTCCCATTCATATTTAAACGTAACGTTGAATATTTATAATTTCCAAGTTTTAAACAACCCCCAATTCCCTTTCTCGCAATTCGTCACAAAATCTAATCTTTCAGGATACGCGTCTTAACTATTTGAACCCATCCGTTTTTCTTACCTCGGGAAAAAATGATCCAACGTTTTGGGTGTTCAAGCGAAACGGGACCTCTTTGGGTATCTGAAAGGGGAAATAGATTCGTTGAGGACCTAGAACAGTGGTTCTCCACCTTTTTAATGCCGTGACCCCAACCGGTCATAAGTTGAGGACTACTCAACCGGTCTTAAGTCGAGGACTACTCAACGGTGCAGCACCGTTTGCAGGATGGGACTTTTGGCGGGCTCAGCAGGGCAGAGACAGCCTGGACAATTCCTATTGGCTTTTGAAAGCCAATAGAATTAGACTCTGTTCAAGAAAGTCTATTCGATTGGCTTTCAAAAGCCAATAGAATAAAAGGGAGGAGCACAGCTAAGGAAAAGGGGGGGAAAATGGCGGACTGCGTTGTTTGGCGACCCCCGAGAAATGGTCGTTCGACCCCAAATGGGGTCCCGACCCACAGGTTGAGAACCACTGACCTAGAAGAACAGAGCTGGAAGGAGCCTCGGAGGTCATCAAGTCTGACCCCCACTGCTCAAGCAGGAGACCCTATACCATTTTGGACAAAGGGCTCTCCCGTCTCTTCTTAAAAACCTCCCTGGATGTAGCACCCACAGGTTTTTTTTCTGTTTTACAGTAACAGATAGTCCTCGACTTATGACGTCAATTGGGAGCGACGCTTCGGTCGCAGTTCACGAGGCACCCGCCCAATCAGTCTTGAGTTTTACGGCCTTTTTTTTTTTTTAGGGCACCCATGAAGTGAACCGCTTGGTTGCAAGTCCAAATCACGTGGCCGTTAAAGCGAGTTGGTCCGTCGTTAAGTGGCAACTGACTCGTATTTAGGACCGTCCCGCAGTATCCTGAGGGGGGGGTGTCACGTGATCTCCGTTTCTGACAAGCAAAGTCAACGGGGGAAGCCCAGATTGGCTGAACGACTACGTCACTCGCTTAACAACTGCGGTGATCCAGTTAAGAGCTGTAGTAAGGAAAGTCATAAAATGGAGCCAAACTCACTTAACGAATGTCTCGCTTAGCAACAGAAACTTTGGGCTCAGTTATGGTTATAGGCGTTGGTCATCCCTTCAAAAGAGGAAGGTATCTTTGGATGACCAAAGAGGCCCTCTTTGTTGTTGTTGTTGTTGTTGTTATTAATAATAATAATAATAATAACGGTATAATCATTGTCTGAATAATACAAAGACTCAAAGACTCTCTAAAAGAAGGCAAATGACCAGCTGTCTACAAGGAGTATAAACATACAAGGAACGGTTGCTGGAATTGTCTATGTCTAGTTTAATGAAGAGAAGGACGAGGGGCGACATGACTAACAAAATGAAATTCAATGGTGAAAAAAGCAAGGTTCTACATTTAGGCAAGAAAAACCAAATGCACAAGTACAGCATAGGTGGCACCATGCTCAATAGTAGTAACTGTGAGAGGGACCTCGGAGTCCTAGTAGACAATCACTTAAATATGAGCCAGCAGCTGCCAAAAAGGCCAACACAGTGCTAGGCTGCATTAACAGAGGGATAGAATCAAGATCACGCGAAGTATTAATACCACTCTTCAATGCCTTGGTAATGCCACACTTGGAATACTGCATACAGTTTTGGTCACCACGATGTAAAAAAGATGTTGAGACTCTAGAAAGAGTACAGAGAAGAGCAACAAAGATGATTAGGGGACTGGAGCTAAAACATATAAGGAATGGTTGCTAGAATTGGGTATGTCTAGTTTAACGAAGAGAAGGACAAGGGGGGACATGATAGCAGTATTCCAATATCTCAGGGGCTGCCATAAAGAAGAGGGAATTAAGCTATTTTCCAAAGCACCTGAAGGCAGGACAAGAAGCAACGGGTGGAAACTCATCAAGGAGAGAAGCAACCGAGAACTAAGGAGAAACTTCCTGACAGTGAGAACAATTAATCAGTGGAACAGCTTGCCTCCAGAAGCAGTAAATGCTCCAACACTGGAAGTTTTTAAGAAGAGACTGGACAGCCATTTGTCCGAAATGGTGTAGGGTTTCCTGCCCGAGCAGGGGGTTGGACTAGATGACCTCCAAGGTCCCTTCCAACTTTACTATTATTATTATTATATCAGCCTTCCAGTATCTCAGGGGCTGCCCCAAAGAAGAGGCAGTCAAGCTCTTCTCCAAAGCACCTGAAGGCAGGAGAAGAAGCAATGGATGGAAACTCATCAAGGAGAGAAGCAACCTAGAACTAAGGAGAAACTTCCTGACAGTTAGAACAATTAACCAGTGGAACAACCTGCCACCAGAAGTGGTTAATGCTCCAACATTGGAAGTTTTTAAGAAGAGACTGGACAGCCATTTGTCTGAAATGGTCAAGAGTTTCCTGGCTGAGCAGGGGGTTGGACTAGATGACCTCCAAGGTCCCTTCCAACATCATCATCATCATCATCATCATTATTATTATTATTATTATTATTATTATTGATCATCGCACAGTCAGCCAGATGTTCAGACTGGATTTGGCATTTTGTCTACCTATCGAGTCCTTACCCAGGACCTGGGATAGGCAGATGTGGATGTTTGATGGTATTACAGATATCGTCGCAAGATGGAAGCAGTTCCTAGTAAGGCCGCCTTTTGCAATTGACTAATAGTGAATTTGTCAATGCCAATGGTGTTCAAGTGGTGCTCCAGTTGTTTTGGGATTGCACCCAAAGCGCCTATGACTATTGGTACCACCCTTGCTTGCTTTTGCCACAGTCTTTCTATTTCTATTTGTAGGTCTTTGTATTGTGTTATCTTCTCCAATTCTTTCTCTTCTATTCTGCTATCTCCAGGCTCTGTCACATCCACTATCCAGACTTTTTTGTCTTTCTTATCGACAATTGTTAAGTCTGGGGTGTTATGTTGCAGGTGCTTGTCTGTTTGAATTCTGAAGTCCCAGAGCAGTTTAATTTTATCATTTTCCATGACTTTCTCTATTTTATGATCTCACCAGTTTTTGCTTACAGGCAAATGATATTTTTTGCCCATCTTCCAATGCACCATTGTTGCTACTTTATTATTATTATTATTATTATTATTATTATTATTATTGGTCATCGCACAGGCAGCCAGATGTTCAGACTGGATTTGGCATTTTGTCTACCTATCGAGTTCCTTACCATTATTATTATTATTATTATTATTATTATTATTATTATTATTAACCCTCCCTTCCCCACCATCCAGTCTCAAAATCTGGAGAAGCTTCTGGGATGAGAAGCGAAAGGTCTTCAAAGGAAAAACAAGGACGTCCAGTTGCCCCCTTCAACAAAGCACCTTAGGGATGGCTTGGACGACCCACTTGTAGGACAAGCCCCGTCCTCTACTTCTGGTGGGTCAAGGTGGGAAGAAGATACGAAAGAGTCATTCCTCCTTGGAGCTGGGATAATCCCCGGAGAACCCTTACCGTCTTGTCGGTGTATTTCACCCGGAACATATTTCCCGTGAAGTACACAAAGGCCGCTGAGTTGACCAGAAAATCGGAGACCCCGATGACAAACATGGAGTGGGACCCGTCAGGTAGGAGGATGGGGGTCGGCCTGAGGGGGCTTCTTTCACGCTCCTGCACCGAGAAGAACTCCCCCTGAAAGACGAGAGGAAAAACGGGGAGGTCAGTCCCGTCTCTTTCAACTGGTGGGTCAACTCAATGCCGTGTGTGACGTTCTCCACGTGGAGGAGGAGGAGGAGGAGGAGGAGGAGAAGGGGAGGAGTAACAACAACAACAAGGTTGGAAGGGACCTTGGAGGTCATCTAGTCCAACCCCCTGCTCAGGCAAGAAACCCTCTGCCGTTTCAGACTTCTTCAGGAGAAAAGGAGGAGAGAAAGAAGAAGAAGATGGGGAGGAGGAGGAGAAGAGAAAGAAGGAGGAAGAGGAGGAGAAGGAGAACGAGGAGGAGGAGAGAAAGAAGGAGGAGGAACAGGAGGAGGAGGAGGAGAAGAAGAGGAAGAAGGAGGAAGAAGAGGAGAAGAAGGTGGAGGTGGTGGAGGAGAAGAGAAGGAGAAGGAGGAGAAGGAGGAGGGACAGGAGAAAGAGGAAGAGGTGGAAGAGGAGGAGGAGGAGGAGGAGGAGAAGTAGCTCTCAACTGGTGCCCAAAAGGTTGGATTCAGCAATCAAAATGGAGCTGGAAGGGACCTTGGAGGTCTTCTAGTCCAGCCCCCTGCCCAAGCAAGAGACCCTATAACATTTCAAATAGGTGGCTGTCCAGTCTCTTCTTAAAAGCATCCAGTGATGGAGCGCCCACAACTTCTGGGGGCAGGTGGTTCCACTGGTTAATTGTCCTCACTGTCAGGAAATTTCTCCTTAGTTCCAGGTTGCTTCTTTCCTTGATGAGTTTCCATCCATCCACACGTGGCTGGTTGAGGAATTCTGGGAGTTGAAGTCCACAAGTCATAAAAGAGCAAAGTTTGAAGACCCCTGGTCTAGGGTCTCCTGCCTCAATAGGGGGTTGGACTAGATGACCTCCAAAGTCCCTTCCAACTTTGTTGTTGTTGTTGTTGTTGTTGTTATTATTATTATTAACTGAGTCCGCGATGAATGCTGTGTGCCTTTGTCAGGGGATTACCTTGAAATCCAGATTTCCGTAATCGTCTGTGATCTCTGGTTTGCTCACCAAGGAGAAGTCAAACGCTGCTACGGAGTCTATCTGGGCCCAAACTAGACAAGAACAACAGGAAAGCAACATTCAAGGTCTGAGAGAGCCTGGGAAGGAGAAGACTCGGGGTTTGAACCTGACCGTGGTAGGCATACTCACGCTCTCTGTTTCTCAAATACTGTGAAAAACGATCCACGTATTTCTTGAATTCTGGGCACACCTGGAAGGGAAGGAAAAACTGACCATGAAGAGAGAGACAGCATAGAAAAATCTTTTCAGTTCTCTAGTGTCCTTGCTGGGTCCTTTAAGCAAGAAAGACCTTCAGCCCCCATTTGTATAGTAAAGGTATACGTGACTGAAGGTCAAGTGGATTACAGAATAGAATAGAATAGAATAAGAAATAATAGGAATAGGAAATAGAACAGAACAGAACAGAACGGAACGGAACAGAATGGAACGGAGTGGAGTGGAGTGAAATGGAATAGGGAATAGAGAATAGAATAGAATAGAATAGAATAGAATAGAATAGAATAGAATAGAATAGAATAGAATAGAATAGAATAGAATAGAATAGAATAGGGAATAAGGAATAAGGAATAGAATAGAATGGAATGGAGTGGAGTGGAATGGAATAGGGAATAGGGAATAGAATAGAATAGGGAATAGGGAATAAGGAATAAGGAATAAGTAATAGAATAGAATAGAATAGAATAGAATAGAATAGAATAGAATAGAATAGAATAGAATAGAATAGAATAGAATAGAACAGGCTTTTCAACCAGTGGTACGGGTACTACCTGTAGTACATTGGCATCTGGCACGTGGTACGCGACCATCCTAGAAAAGGGGTAGCGGGGGAGGGGAATGAGCTGAACCGGTGGCAGCACCACACAAGCCTGAGCGAGAGACGGCTGGAGCTGCAGGGCTGTCAGGGCTCAGCGGAAGCGCCAGGATCAGCGCCAGGTTCCAGCTGGAGCTCAGCACTGATCCTGGGGCTTCTGCTGAACCCAGAAGAAGCGCCGATCAGCTGGAATGTTGCAGCCTCTCCAGGGTCTTGTGATTTACATTCAGAGGCTTGGCAACTGATTCCTATTTATGACGGTCACAGTGTCCCAGGGTCATGTGAAGTGATCAAAACCTGCTGCAACCACCCAGCAGATGGGGGGAATAAAAACCAAACACCCCCCCCCCAATCCTCAACAGAAATCCTCACAACAACGAAAACCTCGGACAGGAGGAAGAGCGCCGCCAGGTGGGCAGGCAGGTGTCTCGCTCGGCTGTGGCTTGGGGGGCACTTTTTTCAGTGCCATTGTAACTTCAAACAGTCACTAAGCGAACTGTTGTAAGTCGAGGACTATCTGTACTTTATCACTTTTTTCCTCTTTTTTTTGGTCATCGAGTTTTTGACACCTTGCTGGGCAACTGGAGGTACTTGGATGTTGCCATATCCTAAAAGTGGTACAATGGGTGAAAAGGTTGAAAAGCCCTGTTCTAGTCCACCCCCCTGTTGAAGCAGGAAAACTATGCTATCTCAGACAGATGAATGTGTAATCCCTTCTTAAAAGCCTCCAGTGATGAAGCACCCATGATTTCTGGTGGCAAGCTGTTCCACTGGCTAATTGTCCTCACTGTTAGGAACTTTCTCCTTAATTCCAGGTTGCTTCTCTCTCTGATCAGTTTCCAACCGTTGTTTCTCATCCTTCCCTCTGGTGCTTTGGTGAACAACCTGACCCCCTCTTCTTTGGGATAGCCCCTCAGATACTTATAGTAGTAGTAAAGTTGGAAGGGACCTTGGAGGTCATCTAGTCCAACCCCCTGCTCGGGCAGGAAACCCTACACCATTTCGGACAAATGGAACCCTTCTATCATGTCTCCCCTATTTCTTCTTTTCTTTAAACCAGCCAAACCCAAGTCCCGCAGCCGTTCCTTGTACGTTTTACTCTCCAGGCCTTGGATCATCTTAGTTGCTCTTCTCTGGACTTTTTCCAAGGTCTCAACATCTTTTTTGTGATAGGGTGACCAAAACTGGCTGCAGTCTTTGGCTTCCTCAGTGATTTTGCTTGTCGGAAAAGGGCAAAAGGGGATCACAGGACCTTCCCCCCCCCTGGGAACACAGCGACCGTCACAAATATGAGCCAGTGGCCAAATGTCCAAATTTTGATCAGGTGACCCTGGGGGATGCTGCAACGGGTTTTAAGTGTGAAAAGTCATAAACCCCTTTTTCCAGTGGCATCGTAACTTCAGAAGCCGTAAGTCATTTTTTTTGACTCCTTGTGACTTCGAACCGTCCCTCAACAAACGCTCGCCAAGTCAAGGATCCTCTATAGGTCGTCCCCTCGCATCGGCATCTTTTTTTTTTCATCGTGCCATTTTTCTTCATCCCGGCCTACACTGCACGGACTAGCTTGAAATCCTTGGGGACGGGGGGGGGGGAAGAAAGCATGCAAAACAAACAGGTAAACAGCTAGAGCAAGGATGGTGGATGAATGGATGGATGGATGGATGGGCCATTTCTAGGCTCGCTACCCAATGCTGGGCTGCATTAACAGAGGGAGAGAATCAAGATCAGGTGAAGTGTTGATACCACTTTACAAGGCCTTGGTAAGGCCACACTTGGAATACTGCATCCAGTTTTGGTTTCCACGATGTAAAAAAAAATGTTGAGACTCTAGAAAGAGGACAGAGAAGAGCAATAAGGATGATCAGGGGACTGGAGGCTAAAACATATAAGGAACGGTTGCTGGAATTGGGAATGTCCAGTTTAATGAAGAGAAGGATGAGGAGGGGGACATGATAGCAATTTTCCAATATCCCAGGGGTTGCCACAAAGAAGAGGGAGTCAAACTATTCTCCAAAGCACCTAAGGACAGGTCAAGATTAATACCACTTTACAAGGCCTTGGTAAGGCCACACTTGGAATCCTGCATCCAGTTTTGGTCTCAACAATGTAAAAAAGATGCTGAGACTCTAGAAAGAGTACAGAGAAGAGCAACAAAGAGGATCAGGGGACTGGAGGCTAAAGCATATAAAGAACGGTTGCTGGAATTGGGCATGTCTAGTTTAATGAAGAGAAGGACGAGGGGGGACATGATAGCAAGCTTCCAGTATCTCAGGGGCTGCCCCAAAGAAGAGGGAGTCAAGCTCTTCTCCAAAGCTCCTGAAGGCAGGACAAGAAGCAACGGATGGAAACTCATCAAGGAGAGAAGCAAACGTAGAAATAAGGAGAAACTTCCTGACAGTGAGAACAATTAACCAGTGGAACAACCTGCCTTCAGAAGCGGGGAACGTTCCAACACTGGAAGTTTTCAAGAAAAGACTAAGCAGCCATTTGTCTGAAATTGTATAGGGTTTCCTGCCTGAGGCAGGGGGTTGGACTAGATGATCTCCAAGGTCCCTTCCAACTTTATTATTATTATTATCATTATTATTATTAATCACTGCACTGTCAGCCAGATGTTCAGACTGGATTTGGCATTTTGTCTACCTATCGAGTCCTTACCCAGGACCTGGGATAGGTAGATGTGGATGTTTGATGGTATTACAGATATCGTCGCAGGATGGAGGCAGTTCCTAATAAGGCCGCCTTTTGCAATTGACTAATAGCGAATTTGTCAATGCCAATGGTGTTCAAGTGGTGCTCCAGTTGTTTTGGGATTGCACCCAAGGAGCCTATGACTATTGGTACTACCCTTGCTTGCTTTTGCCACAGTATTATTATTATTATTATTATTATTATTATTATTATTATTATTATTATTATCTGTCCGGCATGTCACCTGCTCACAGTGAAATCGGAGCCCTCACTTCCTTCCTGCCTCTGCCAATCATTCTCCGGGGATACATCCTGATAAAGTTGCAGGAGGTGGCTGGGAAAAACGCAGACAGACACCTGTGCATTCCACCTGGCTGGGAAAAAAGGCGGCGGAGTGAGCCCCCCTGATTCAGACGGGGCCTTGGGGGCGGGGGGAACCATCTCTGCGCTAACAAGCTGAAAGATAAATTGAGCTTCTTTAATGAAAGCCAATCTACCTGTTGAAAACTCAGGAAGGTTTTTGCCTTCTCATAAATCTCCTTTCAAAAGGCTCCGTGAGAACTTTGCGCGCGGGCCAAGAATCTGATGCACATCGCCTGGCCAGGGGTGTGTGCGGATTTTACACACGGGAGGATATGCCCGGTCTGTTTCCCACTGATAAGAGAAGCGTATCCTCAACTTAAAAGTAGTCCTCGACTTACAACATTTCGTTTAGTGACTGTTGGAAGTTACAACGGCTTATCACTGCTGATTCACACTTACGACCATGGTCAACCCGATCGAAATTCGGAGACATGGCCACTGACTCATATTTACGATGGTCACGGTGTCCCCCCAGGCTCATGTGACCAGCAAAGTCAGCTGGGAATCTTGTTTCACTTAACAACCACGTGACTCAATGAACAACTGCAGCAACCCACTTAACGACGATGGAAAAAAGGTGGTAAAATGGGACAAAACTCAATTAACAAATGTCTTGCCTTTAGCCACAGAAATTTTGGGTTCCAGTCGTGGCCGTAAGCCGAGGATTAGCTGTTACGGTCGCCTCTAAGCGAGACCAGCGATTAATAAGTTAGGTAAATAAATAAAGATTTGCCTTCGGGAGGTTGGTATGGAAACGATGAGAAGGAATTCTGGGAAACGCAGTCCCAAGGCACCTGAGAATGCTGGTCTCAGCGTCTTTGTATTTTAATCTTAATATTTATTTTGTTTTCATAGTTTAAGGTTTTATCTTGGTGGCAAGTTGCCCAGAGTCACCTCTGGGCAAGAACAGGCAGCATATCAATTAATTAATTAATTAATTAATTAATTGAACAACGGTGGCTGGATTTGGGTATGGCCAGTCTAGAGAAAAGAAGGACGAGGGGGGACAGGATAGCAGTCTTCCAGTATCTCAGGGACTGCCCCAAAGAAGAGGGAGTCAAGCTATTCTCCAAAGTGCCTGAAGGCAAGACAAGAAGCAACAGATGGGAACTAATCAAGGAGAGAAACAACCTAGAACTAAGGAGGAATTTCCTGACAGTGAGAACAATTAACCAGTGGAACAGCCTGCTTCCAGAAGCGGTGAATGCTCCAACACTGGAAATTTTTAAGAAGAGACTGGACAGCCATTTGTCTGGAATGGTATGTTTCCCGCCTGAGCAGGGGGTTGGACTTGATGACCTCCAAGATCCCTTCCAGCTTCTATTCTATTCTATTCTATTCTATTCTATTCTATTCTATTCTATTCTATTCTATTCTATTCTATTCTATATTCTATTCTATTCTATTCTATTCTATTCTCCAAAGCCCCTGAAGGCAGGACGAGAAGCAACGGATGGAAATTAACCAAGGAGAGAATCAACCTAGAACTAAGGAGAAACTTCCTGACAGTGAGAACAATTAACCAGTGGAACAACCTGCCTCCAGACGTTGTGGACGCTCCATCTCTGCATCTTTTAAAGAAGAGACTGGACAGCCTTTGGTCAGAAATGGTACAGGCTTTCCTGCTTGAGCAGGGGGTTGAACTAGAAGACCTCCAAGGTCCCTTCCAGCTCTGTTCTGAATTGCCAAAAAAAATCTTTAGATTTGGAAGGCTGGTATGGGAAGCGATGAGAAGGAAGCAAAATGGAGTGATCCACCCAGACATGGCGATGGAGCAATGAAGATGGATGGACACTCGATGGCTTTTGACCTCAGTCGATGGGAGGACCCGCTTTGAGGCAAAGAGATCCCAAATCTTACTTGTTGATTGATGTCGGTGATCAGGGTCATCTTGAGACTTTGGGAGATCCAAGTGTAGAGCTGTCTGCAAGAAAAAAAAGCATGATGGACTCAGCCACAGCCTGGTCACTGCCAAGACTTTTGATTGGGGGGGGGGGTTCCAATCAGGGTCTTACTAAAGAGCACTGGGGATGGGGGCTATGATAGCTGCCCTCATGGGGGGAGAATTGGAGACAAAACCCCTCAGAACTCAGAAACCTGTCCATTGCGTAAGAAGAAAGGAAGGTTGAAGGAGAAACCCAGTCTGGTTGCCTCCAGAAGTTCTGGGATGCTCCATCACTGGAGATTTTTTAAGAACAGATTGGACAACCCTTTGTCTGGACTGGGATAGGGCCTCCTGTCTGAGTAGGGGGTTGGACTAGAAGACCTCCAAGGCCCCCTTCAACTCTTATTCTGGTTGACGCCATGGAGATGGAGATGTTCCTTCACGAAGTCCCAAGACCTTCTCCATACCACCTGCCTAGGGCACACAGCTCCATTCACATCACACCAGAAGGTAAGGTTGGGGTGCCCACAGTCCCACAGGGCCACCTTAGGCCCAGGAAACAGATTGCCTGTCTCCAGCCTCTAGGACAGGGGTCTTCCAACTTGGTCCTCTTAGGACCGGTGGACTTCAACTCCCAGAATTCCTCATTCGGCCATTTTGATGAAACTGCGAGCTTGGATCCAGACCAGGGGTCTTCCAGCTTGGCCCTTCTATGACTGGTGGACTTCAACTCCCAGAATTCCTCAGCCAGCGTGCCTGGCTGAGGAATTCTGGGAGTTGAAGTCCACAAGCTGGGGTCTTCCAACTTGGCCTTTTTAGGACTGGTGGACTTCAACTCCCAGAATTCCTCAGTCGGCCATTTTGATGAAACCACGAGCTTGGATCCAGACCAGGGGTCTTCCAACTTGGCCCTTCTATGACTGGTGGACTTCAACTCCCAGAATTCCTCAGCCAGCATGCCTGGCTGAGGAATTCTGGGAGTTGAAGTCCACAAGCTGGGGTCTTCCAACTTGGCTCTTTTATTCCTCAGCCAGCGTGCAACAGAAATTTTGGGCTCAGTTGTGGATGTAAATCGAGGAGGAATTGTGCTTTCCCAGAATGGAACAGTTCAAGACGGCTCACTTTTGGATGGTGAAGATGACATGGATCAAACCAGTGTACAAGGAGCAAAATGGAAAAGGCCAGCGCATAGCACAATTCAATATGTGGCTAAAGGAGTGGTGTAAAGGGGAAGGCTTTGGATATATTAGTCACGATGTCTGTAGCTGGTCCAATGAAAAGATGTACAAAAGAGATGGTTTGCATCCATCAAAGAAAGGGACTGAGTTACTCGGCTATAAATTCACAGATTTTCTGGAGGAAAATTTAAACTAAACAGCAGGGACAGTGAGTTAATTGATACAGAACATCCCTGTCCCTGGCAATCTAAAAATTATAGGGCTATCAGTGCATGTAAGAATACCAACCTTGCTGTCAAGCAAAATCAAGCCTGTAATAGTGAGTGCCACACAAAGTGCACTAACCAAATAGGTGGTAAGACAATAGGGGAACTCAGGCACCACACAAGTTATGTAGGAAGCAAACACAGGGCCACTCACAAAGGATTCAAATGTCTATACACCAATGCACAGAGTATGAATATCAAACAGGGTGAACTAGAAATTCAGGTTAATGAGGGCAGATATGATATTGTTGCCATTATGGAAACATGGTGGGATGAAACCCACACATGGAACACACAGCTAGAGGGATTTAAATTATTTAAAAGAAACAGACCAAATAAAAGGAGGTGGAGTTGCTCTCTATATAAGAAATAACTACATCTCTACAGAAATAGAGCACAACAATGATAAAAACTGTCTTGAATGCATTTGGGTCAATAGAAAAGGGGGAAAAAATGACATTGCCAAAGGTGTATACTACAGGCCACCCAACCAAACAGAGGAAATAGATGAACTTTTTGCTAGTCAGCTAACTAAAGTATGTAGGAAGCACATCACAATAGTAATGGGGGACTTTAACTACCCTGACATCAACTGGGAGACAAACTCTGCACCAAGTGGAAGATCAAATAGGTTCCTTACAAACCCAGCAGACAACTTTGTCTCCCAAAAAGTACAGAAGGGAACTAGGGGATTAGTCATTTTGGATCTAATTCTCACTAACAGAGATGAAATGATAGAAGGTGTTGAAGCCATAGGAACCCTGGGAGGAAGTGATCATGTAATATTGAAATTCAACATTATGGAAGCACAAGCAATAGAACACAGTCAAACTAGAGTCTTGGACTTCAAGAGAGCTAATTTCAATAAACTTAGAGAGGGATTGGGAAGGATTCCATGGATGAGAATCCTCCAGGGGAAAACAACTCAAGAAGCTTGGGAAATTTTGAAAAATGAGATAATAAAAGCCCAGTCTAGCACAATACCAACAAAGAGGAAAAATAACAGCTCTCAAAAGAAACCAGCACGGCTGCATAAAGAACTCTCTGACAAATTGAAAGATAAAAAGGACAAGTATAGAAAGTGGAAAGAGGGGAACATAACTAAGTCAGAATATCAGCAAATAGCACGAGCCTGCAAAGATGAAGTGAAGAAAGCCAAGGCTCAAAATGAACTAAGGCTTGCGACCAAAGTCAAAAATAACAAAAAAAGCTTCTTTCAACATGTAAAAAAACAAGAAAAAAGTGAAGGAAATGATTGGTCCATTAGTGGGTGAAAGTGGCAAGAAGGTGACAAGCAACAGGGAGAAAGCAGAACTATTTAATTCATTTTTTGCATCTGTCTTTACACAAAGGGAAAAAACAGACCAACCTATCGAAAACAGTGCCATAAAAAAACAGAATAGAAATGTAAGTTAGGATAGGTAGGAAAATGGTAAGTGAGCACCTGTCCAGCCTAGACGAGTTCAAATCGCCAGGACCAGATAGATTACATTCCAAGGTTCTCCAGGAACTGGCAGATGTGATCTCAGAACCACTGAATTATATTTTTCAAAGACCCTGGAGCACTGGGGAACTACTAGAGGACTGGAAAAGAATTGATGTAGTTCCCATCCTCAAAAAAGGAAAAAAAATGGATCCAGGAAATTACAGACCTATCAGCCTGACCTCAATACCTGGGAAGATCCTGGAAAAGATAATCAAACAACGAATCAATGAACACCTAGAGGCAAACAAAGTCATTACTAAAAGCCAACAAGGGTTTGTCAAAAATAGATCATGCCAGACAAATCTTATTGCATTCTTTGACCAATTGTCAAAATTAGTGGATCAGAGGAATGCTGTGGACATAATTTACTTGGACTTCAGTAAGGCATTTGATAAAGTAGATCACAACCTACTACTTGACAAGATAGAAAAATGTGGGGTAGATAGAACCACCACCAGATGGATCTGTAGCTGGCTGACCGGCTGTACTCAGCGTGTGGTCCTCAATGGAACCGCAACTAGATGGAGGGAAGTGTGTAGTGGGGTGCCCCAGGGCTTTGTACTGGGCCCAGTGCTCTTTAATATCTATATCAACGATTTGGATGTGGGGATAGATGGGGAACTCATCAAATTTGCAGACGACACCAAGCTGGCAGGAATAGCCAACACTCCAGAAGACAGGCTTAGGATACAGAAGGATCTGAACAAACTGGAACACTGGGTGCTATCTAAAAAATGAAATTCAATGGTGAAAAAAGTAAGGTTCTACATTTAGGCAAGAAAAACCAAATGTACAGGTATAGTATAGGGGGTACCTTGCTCAATAGTAGTAACTGTGAGAGGGACCTCTGAGTCCTAGTGGACAATCCCTTAAATAGGAGCCAGCCGTGTGCTGCAGCTGCCAAAAAGGCCAACGCAGTGCTAGGCTGCATTAACAGAGGGATAGAATCAAGGTCATGTGAAATATTAATACCACTTTACAATGCCTTGGTAAGGCCACACTTGAAATCCTGCATTCAGTTTTGGTCACCACAATGTAAAAAAGATGCTGAGACTCTAGAAAGAGTGCAGAGAAGAGCAACAAAGATGATCAGGGGACTGGAGGCTAAAACATATAAGGGATGATTGCTGGAATTGGGAATGTCTAGTTTAATAAAGATAAGGACGAGGGGGGACAGGATAGCATTGGTCCAGTATCTCAGGGGCTGCCACAAAGAAGAGGGAGTCAAGCTCTTCTCCAAAGTGCCTGAAGGCAGGACAAGAAGCAACGGATGGAAACTAACCAAGGAGAGAAGCAGCCTGGAACTAAGGAGAAATTTCCTGCCAATGAGATTGATTAACCAGTGGAACTACCTGCCTAGAGAAGTGGTGAATGCTGCAATACTGGAAGTTTTTAAGAAGAGACTGGAGAGCCATTTGTTTGAAATGGTACAGGATTTCTTGCCTGAGCAAGGGGTTGGACTAGATAACCTCCAAGGTCCCTTCCAACTTTACTATTATTATTATTATTATTATTATTATTATTATTATTATTATTATTATTATTATTATTATGGATCATCACACAGTCAGCCAGATGTTCAGACTGGATTTGGCATTTTGTCTACCTATCGAGTCCTCACCCAGGACCTGGGATAGACAGATGTGGATGTTTGATGGTATTACAGATATCGTCGCAGGATGGAAGCAGTTCCTATTCTTATTCTTATTATTAAACATGTGAAGACAGGGCTTTATGGCCTACCTTTTTGGCCCCAAAAAGTCAACGTCGGGAATGTTGGAGACGCAGCCGATGTACTGCACCAGGGCTCGTCCCCCATCATCCACGTCCAGTCCAAAGAGGGCCGTGAGGGACAGTCCATTGATGTTGATCTGGACCATGCCATCATCCTGTCTGAAGGGACGGAGAGAGATCTGTGAGCTGCCCACCTTGGTCAAATCTCCACTGCTAGAAGGGAGTGAGGTTTACAGAGGAGGAGGAGGAGGAGGAGGAGGTGGTGGTGGTTTGTGGGGACCTGGTGCTCTCTGAGCTTGGTTGTTTTCTTGCAGACACTTCAGTAGGGAACATCATCAGCACTAGAAGGGAGTGGGTTGTAGAGAGGAGGAGGAGGAGGAGGACTGTAGGGTTCTTGGTGATCTCTGATGTTTATCTTGCAGACATTTCATGACCAAACTAGGGAACATCATCAGGGCTTGAATGGGATGTGTGGAGAGGAGGAGAGGGAGGAGGAGGAGGAGGCGGCGAGGGGAAGGGGGAGGAGTTTTGTGGAGTCCTTGGTGGTCTCTGAGCATGGTTGTTTTCTTGCAGACATTTCATTACCCAACTAGGGAACATCATCAGCACTAGAAGGGAGTGGGTTGTGGAGAGAAGGAGGAGGAGGAGGAGGAGGGGAGGAGGAGGAGGAGGAGGAGGAGGAGGAGGAGGAGGAGGAGGGGAGGAGGAGGAGGAGGACTGTAGGGTTCTTGGTGATCTCTGATGTTTATCTTGCAGACAATTCATGACCAAACTAGGGAACATCATCAGGGCTTGAATGGGGTGTGTGGAGAGGAGGAGGAGGAGGAGGAGGAGGAGGAGGAGGAGGAGGAGGAGGAGGAGGAGGAGGAGGAGGAGGAGGAGGAGGAATTTGTGGAGTCCTTGGGGCTCTCTGAGCTGGGTTGTTTTCGGGCAGACATTTCATTGTCCAACTAGGGAACATCATCAGGGCTAGTAGGGTGGTGGGGTTTGCAGAGTGGAGCAGGAGGAGAACTGTGGGGTCCTTGGTGCTCTCGGAGCTTGGTTCTCTTGAGGGAACCACCAATGGGACTCCTATCCAATCTACATTACAAGAAGCTTGAAGGACCTTGGCATGTATGGACCCTCTTGTCGAGGACTAGGGGGGACATGATAGCAGCCTTCCAGTATCTCAGGGGCTGCCACAAAAAAGAGGGGGGTCAAATTATCCACCAAAGCACCGGAAGACAGGACAAGAAAGAGGGAATTAAGCTATTTTCCAAAGCACCTGAAGGCAGGACAAGAAGCAACGGATGGAAACTAATCAAGGAGAGAAGCAACCTAGAACTAAGGAGAAACTTCCTGACAGTGAGAACAATTAACCAGTGGAACAACCTGCCTCCAGAAGCGGTGAATGCTCCAACACTGGAAGTTTTTAAGAAGAGACTGGACAGCCGTTTGTCTGAAATGGTCTAGGGTTTCCTGCCTGAGCAGAGGGTTGGACTAGATGACCTCCGTGATCCCTTCCATCTCTGTTATTCTGCCCTATGCCAGGTAAATCCCAAATCCGTAACTTGCCTCCTGGACTCCCTTCCTCAGACCCCCAACTCCCATGGTATAGGGTTTTCTGCCTGAGCAGGGGCTTGGACTAGATGACCTCCAAGGTCCCTTCCATCATCATCACCACCCTACCACCACCACCACCATCATCATTATTATTATTACTATTACTATGGATCATCGCACAGTCAGCCAGATGTTCAGACTGGATTTGGCATTTTGTCTACCTATCGAGTCCTTACCCAGAACCTGGGATAGGCAGATGTGGATGTTTTGATGGTATTACAGATATCGTCGCAGGATGGAAGCAGTTCCTAGTAAGGCCGCCTTTTGCAATTGACTAATAGCGAATTTGTCAATGCCATGGTGTTCAAGTGGTGCTCCAGTTGTTTTGGGATTGCACCCAAGGAGCCTATCACTATTGGTACTACCCTTGCTTGCTTTTGCCACAGTCTTTCTATTTCTATTTGTAGGTCTTTATATTTTGTTATCTTCTCCAGTTCTTTCTCTTCTATTCTGCTATCTCCAGGCACTGCCACGTCCACTATCCAGACTTTTTTGTCTTTCTTATCGACAATTGTTAAGTCTGGGGTGTTATGTTGCAGGTGCTTGTCTGTTTGAATTCTGAAGTCCCAGAGCAGTTTAATTTTATCATTTTCTATGACTTTCTCTATTTTATGATCCCACCAGTTTTTGCTTACAGGCAAATGATATTTTTTGCAGATCTTCCAATGCACCATTGTTGCTACTTTGTCATGCCGCTGCTTGTAGTCAGTCTGTGCAATCTTCTTGCAACAGCTTACCAGGTGGTCCACTGTTTCTTCAGCTTCTCTATTACTACTACTACTACTGCTGCTGCTGCTGCTGCTGCTGCTGCTGCTGCTGCTACTACTACTACTACTACTACTACTACTACTACTACTATTATTATTATTATTATTATTATTATTATTATCCCCAAGAATACTTACCCAAACCAATATTTGTTCTTCCAATTGGTGCTGAGCACAACTTGAGCGTTCCGGATGATCAGTCGAATCCCTGTTTCCTCGGCAAACTCAGCCTCTGAGTCCTTCACCTCAACTTGTTTGATTTTGATGCTGCGAAGGAGAACAGGAAAGAGGCAGGAAGTGTTCTTCCTTGTATATGCCAGAATACATTTTTCAGGGCCATGAAGGCTCCGGTGTATCGTGTTGAAAGCCATAAAATCCTGACGAAAAGAATTTCGGGAACTGCCCTGTGTTCAACGCAAGCTCTACAAATTGGCCTTGACTTAACCACTCAAAATGTCTGTTGTTAAGTCAGACGTTGGTTAAGTGAGTTTTTGTCCCATTTTACGACCTTGGATGTGATTCGTTGCAGTTGTTTTGGTTTTTTAAAAAATAATATTTTATTAATTTTCCAACTTTACATTTAAGTTATTTAAAAAGCAACGTGGTGGCTGGGTTAATCAACAGTTCGATAACAAAATGTTTAGTGCAAATCTCAAGTTACAACCTCTCTCTTCCCCTTAATATTTACCGTCTTGTATTCAAGCTAATCCAGTTCTTATTATATCAACTCAGTAAAAACATAATAATTACATTGATCAATAAAATTTTAGCTTATCTGTATCTTAATTACATTTTACATTCAATCTTCGTAAACAATCCATATCCTGTTATTAATTTCCCCCCAGTTTTTAGTTTCCCATCAATACTCCAATTTAACCTTTGATATATATAATTTTCAGGCTTTAGGAAACCAAGATTTCCTTTATCTCAATTCATAACAGAATCTAATATCCAAAATACACATTTTATCTATTTGAATGTAGTCTTGTTCTATTTCCTAAAAGTTATCTATTTCCCACCATATTAAATCATCTCCTTAATAATACAATAGCCCCTTTAATAAATCAAAACCATTATATATATATATATATATATATATATATATATATATATATATATATATATATATATATATATATATATATATATATATATTGCCTGGGTTAATCAATAAATTAAACATATTCATAATAATTAATATTTTTTTCTTTTAGGTCTAATTTTTAAATATTGAACAGATAAAATCCTTATTTTCAACTAAATTCAAAATATTTTAAATCCAACAACCAAAATTCCCCTTATCTCAACTTCTCTCTTTAACCCTCTAATTAATAATATGAAATCCCCTCTAATAAATCAAAACCCCAATTTTCTTCAGCCTTATTCTGGCTTTCTTCTTTTGCCAACTAGGCTTCTATATCAGTGCTTTTAGATCGTCAAATAGATCTCCCTCTATTATTATATATGTCATTTGAAATAAAGGAGACCATTTAATTGCCATTTTTATGGAAGGACTAGTAGGGTTTCCTGCCTGGGCAGGGGTTGGACTAGATGACCTCTGAGGTCCCTTCCAATTCTGTTATTCTGTTATTTAGTGGAATAACGTGCCTCTGGAAGCTGTGAATGCTCCAACCCTGGAAGATTTTAAGAAGAGACTGGACAGCCATTTGTCTGAAATGGTATAGGGTTTCCTGCCTGAGCAGGGGGTTGGACTAGATGACTTCCAAGGTCCCTTCAAACATTATTATTATAATTATTAATAATAATAATAAGAAGAAGAAGAAGAGGAGGAGTAGGAGGAGGAAAAGAAGAAGAAGAAGAAGAAGAAGAAGAAGAGGAAGAGGAAGAGGAGGAGGAGAAGAAGAAGAAGAAGAAGAAAAAGAAGAAGAAGAAAGAGGAGGAGGAGGAGGTGGAGGACTGTGGGGTATTGCTGCTCTCTGAGCTTGATTACTTTCTTGCAGACATTTCATTACCAAACTAGGTAACATCATCAGTGCTAGAAGGGAGTGGGGAGTGGAGAAGAAGAAGATGATGATGAAGAAGAAGAAGACGAAGAAGGAGGATGGGACCTTGGAAGTCATCTAGTCCAACCCCCTGCTCAGGCAGGAAACCCTATGCCATTTCAGACAAATGGCTGTCCAGTCACTTCTTAACAACCCTGGAAGTTTTTAAGACCTCCAAGATCTCTTCCAACTCTATCATCATCATCATCATCATCATCATCATCATCATCATCATCATCATCATTATTAACCGTGATGAGAAAGGTCGTAAAATGGGGCAAAAGTCACCTAACAAAGGTCTCACTTTGACCAGAGAACTCTGGGGCTCTGTTGTGGTCCTAAAGCCAAGGACTACCTCTACTTTAGCCGAGGAGGCAGCTGGGCCCAGCCTTACTTTGAGAAGGACAAAGAGACTTCTCCCAACAGGGGCTCGTTGTAACTGTTGCTTTGATCCTGGATTTTCTCCTCCCTGAGTTGTGACAGAAGCGTCTCCAACGCCACGTCCTTCACTGCAAAGAGTTAGCGAGAGTCAAGGTCAACAGGAAGGACTTTATATAAAACATTTCCTAGAGGACACTCGCCACCAGCAAGATTGGCAAACATAATTAAGAACATGTCGGATAGACATTGGAAATGTAAACATAAGTCAGGTACTTATTATCATGTATGTGTTGTAATTCCTCACCAGCCAGCGGATCTAACAGCTGAGTCTGAGGACTCAGAGGAGGAGGAAGAGGAGGGGCCTGGAGTGAGATCGGAGTCAGAGGAAGGCTCTGAGGAGCTCCAAGACTTACGGTCAGACAAGGAGCCTGGCCCCTCTACTCGCGCTCAGGCTGAGACGCAATTGTGCTGGGAGTCTTGAGTTGGGCAGTGATGAAGAACAGCTGGGACAAATCCCGGATGCACGAAAGCGCAGGCAAGAGAAGCGAGTAGGACAGAGGGATGCAAGGGGGTAACTCCAAAGGCAAAGGAGAAGGCATTAGGAAGTCACGCCTGGGCTGCATAATAAAAGGGAAGGTGTCGGAGGCGCTGGTGGCCGAAGGCAACCGTTAGTGTTGAGATCGAGTTTCTATGGACTGTGTTTTGTTAGCCTTAGGACATTGATTCAGGTCTGTAAATAATAAAAGGGGTTGGTTTTTTTCCTGCGGTTCCAGCTTGTTTCTTGGAAGAGGGGTTTCTCCTTGGGAACGTAACAAGGACTCACGTGGGCTGGGACAGAACAATATGGTGGACACGTGTTGCCCGGTATCACCATCAAACTTTCAACATTATGGACATCAACTCCCATAATCCCCAGCCAGCACTAAAGCCCGAGAAGGTCCCCATTGGGTAAGGCTGCTGTTCAAATTTCATGGGGGTCTTCTAAGAAAGAATCCTCAGTGGAGGAAAAAGGTCAAGTCCTCCTAACGCAGTGTTTTTCAACCTCGGCCATTTTAAGATCTGTGGACTTCAACTCCCAGAATTCCCCAGCCAGCCATGGGAGTTGAAGTCCACGCATCTTAAAGTCCACACACCGTGAAGTGGAATTGAAGTCCACACATCTTGAAGGCAGCATGCTGGCAGGGGAATTCTGGGAGTTGAAGTCCATTCTTCTCCATGCATGCTGGCGGGAATTCTGGGAGTTGAAGTCCATTCCTCTCCATGCATGCTGGCAGGAATTCTGGGAGTTGAAGTCCATTTATCTGCATGCATGCTGGCGGGAATTCTGGGAATTGGTCCATTCATCTGCAAGCATGCTGGCTGGGGAATTCTGGGAGCTGAAATCCTCATATCTCCAAGCACATTGGCTGGGGAATTCTGGGAGTTCACCCGTCTTAAAGGGACGGAGGTTAAGAAACTAAGTTTCCACCGGACGACCTGATCTATACCAAAGTTTGCAGGTTGAATCAGAATGCAACGACCCTTTTGCCAATTGCATAAAGATATAATTGGCTGACGACCGAATCACGCAAAGATCCCGGGATCCCTTCTGACTTTGCTTAAGAGAGCAAGCCACAAAATTTCCTTTTTAACGTGTGCCAATGTGCCCACGGTAAAGGGTGACAATAAAGGTGATCTATCTATCTCACATCTCGTGCTTCATGCTTAAGTCTCCATCTGTGAGGACCCCAAGGAGAAACTCACCATAGGCCAGCCCCCTCTCAGTTACTTGGAGTTTCAGGGCTCCTGTGGGCTCCGTTTCTGTTTTAAGAAAGAGACGAGGCTCAAAAATCGGCAGGAAAAAAATCCACATCATCGTTTTCAAGTGCAGGTTAGCCATGTGGCTCACGGAGATTCCCACAGGAGGAAGAGAACAAGGACCCTAGAAGAGGAAGGTTCAAGAGTCACTAATTGTGAAATGAGTATCATCATCATCATCATCATTATTATTATCCTTCATTAAACTAGACCTACCCAATTCCAGCAACCGTTCCTTATATGTTTTAGCCTTCAGTCCCCTGATCCTCTTTGTTGCTCTTCTCTGCCCTCTTTCTCTAGAATCTCAACAACTTTTTTACACTATGGCGACCAAAACTGGGTGCAGGATTCCAAGTGTGGCCTTACCAAGGCCTTGTAAAGTGGAATTAACACTTCACGTGATCTTGATTCTGTCCCTCTCTGTGGGCAGGTGCGCCATCGCCCCAGTCCTAGGCCTTTGGCTGGGTTTTATAAAACCTTTTTGCTTTAGGCCTCCGCCGCCATGTGCAAAAAAAAAAAGGTTCAATCAGTCAATTTCAACTTCTCGCGGGAAAAAAAAGATCTCGCAAAGTTGGACTTGATTGATTGAACTTTTTAGTCCCACCCAGTCTGCCGTTACCACCGCAGCCACGCCCACCCAATTGGCCACACCCAGCCAATGGGCCATGCCCACCTAATGGGCCACACCCACCCAATGGACCACGCCCACCCGGCACCCGACGATACATAAGTGGGTTTGGGGTTGCAGTTTGGGCACTCGGTCTCTCAAAGGTTTGCCATCAGTGGCCTATACTATACCTGTGCCTAGTATGTAGTATGGCTGTATTACTATTACCCTTCTCATCTTCTTGGATGAGATAGATGACAACAACTTCACAAATGCAGGGCACCACATAGGAGAACAAACCCATCAGGATAAGATTCAGCCGTCCATCTCACAGCCGCTCCGGGCATCACTGCCCTCCCCCCGATGCTTCACCCCAAGTGTCATCCGTGCAGTCCCAACGGGGTGCCATGTTTCCCAACCCAACCTTTTGTAAGGTACAACCTAGGTCAGGAGTAAGCAACCTTGGCTCTTTTATGATTGGTGGACTTCAACTCCCAGAATTCCTGAGCCAGCATGGGGGAACTATGGTCCCTTCATGATTCGTGGACTTCAACTCCCAGAATTCCTCAGCCAGCATGGCTCGTCTTGGAAACCTCTCCCTTTCCCCGCAGCATGGCTGGCTCAGGAATTCTGGGAGTTGAAGTCCACGAGTCATAAAAGAGCCACTGTTGCCTAGCCCTGCCCAAATGCCTGAATTTTGATCACAGGACCGTGAGGAAAACATATTTAAATATTTAAACCAGAGGTCTTCAAACCTGGCCCTTTTATGACTGGTAGACTTCAACTCCCAGAATTCCTGAGCCAGCATGGCTCAGCTTGGAAACTTCTCCCTTTCCCCTCAGCAGGGCTGGCTGAGGAATTCTGGGAGTTGAAGTCCACCAGTCATAAAAGAGCCCAGGTTGCCTAGCCCTGGCCTAGGAGAACAAACCCATCAGGATCAGATTCGGCGGCCCGTCTGCATTTAAAACACAAAGGCCGCTCTTTCAAAGACAGCAAATTCCACATTTTGGACGGAGAGGACCGTTGGCTTGAAAGAGGGGTCCAAGAGGCCATCTGTGTCAAAACTGAACAGTCCCTCCCTCAACGGAGGGGGAGGGACACGACACCACCCATCTCCCGTCAACAACACAGTCCTTTCAGCAATTCCAAGAAGGCTCCACATCCATTTGCACCGCTCAGGTGACCCTGAGGACACAGATAAGCCTCCAAGTGGCCTCAACGACTCTCTCAAAGGAGGCAAATGACCGGTTGTCTGCAAGGAGTATAAATCCTTCCCTTCCCCACCATTCAGTCAGAACCCGAAGAAGCTTCTTGAATGAGAAGCGAAAGGTCTTCAAAGAGAAAAACAAGAAAGTCCAGTTGCCTCCTGAAAAAAGCACTTTTGGGACTTTGAACCGGAAACGACACCTCCCCCCAAAGCAGCCATATTCTTCCTGACAGTGAGGAAAACCAACCAGTGGAACAGCTTGCCACAAGAAATTGTGGGCGCTCCATCACTGGAAGTTTTTAAGAAGAGACTGGATAGTCACTTGTCTGAGATGGTATAGGTCCTCCTGCTTGAGCAGGGGGCTGGACTAGAAGACCTCCAAGGTCCCTTCCAGCTCTATTCTATTCTATTCTATTCTACTCTACTCTACTCTACTCTACTCTACTCTACTCTACTCTACTCTACTCTACTCTACTCTACTCTATTCTATTCTACTCTATTCTATTCTATTCTATTCTATTCTACTCTACTCTACTCTACTCTACTCTACTCTACTCTATTCTATTCTACTTTATTGTACTCTACTCTACTCTACTCTACTCTATTCTATTCTATTCTATTCTACTCTATTCTACTTATTCTATTCTATATATACTACTCTACTCTATTCTACTCTACTCTACTCTATTCTATTTTATTCTACTCTATTCTACTCTATTCTGTTCTATTCTAAATAAAGTATTGAATTCAATTCGAATCAAATCAAATTACTTACTAAGAAGGTTTTGGCTTGCAACAGGATAGCTGTTCTGACTTCGGTGCCAGTGCAAACCGTCGGTCACCACCGAATTGATAATCCTTTTGGGTCACCCAAACCCTTTTATATCTCCACTAAGCCAACCTTACACTTCCTTCTCTTGAGGATGACTGCCGGTAAGATGTCAATCTAGGCTTCCTTGGGAAAACCCACATTTCCCCATCTCTGTCCATACAAAAGGGACGAAAAAGGAAGTGAGCTGTCCTGAAATTAAACCCCTGGCATGTTTGAATCGGATCATAACCAAGAAGAAAAAAAAACCCACTGCCGTTTCATCCAGGAAAGTCCAAGCTGATCCACGCTGATGGGTACCCAGTGCGAATAATCCTCAATTTACAACCGTTCATTTAGTGACTCTTCAAAAGTACAACAGCCCTGGAAAAAGTGACATGGCCGTTTTCACACAACCGTCGCAGCCTCCTCATGGGCACGTGGTCAAAATTCGGACACTTGGCATCTGACTCATATTTATGACGGTTGCGGTGTCCCCTGGGGGTCACGCAATCCCCTTGTCACCTTCTGACAGTCAAAGTCAACAGAAAGCCATAACAACCGTCTTATGTATGTAACATCTATTAAGTACGGTGGCAAGAAATGTCGTAAAATGGGGCCAAAATTCACTCAAGAACTGCCTTGCTTAGCAACAGAAAATTTGGGCCCGGCTGTGGTCATAAATTGAGGACTCCCTGTACAGAAAGACATGTGGCAAATATATTCTGGAGTTAGAATATAATCTGGCTAATGGAGCAAACGGAGAGCAAGACCCTTCCGAGCACCAGGAAGGAAGGAAATTTAAATGGGTGTTATGTATGCGTACACTTTGAGAGCAAGCAACTAAATTTTTTAATGTGCGCCAATGTGCCCACAGTAATAAAAAAAAATGACAATAAAGGTTAGCTATCTATCTATATAACAATTCTCAAGTCCACAATGGGGAGAAACGACGGAACAGGAAAGAAATAAAAGGAATATATTGACACAAGGATTCATCGACTCTAAGAAACTCTAACTTAGAATAATTAACCAGTGGAACTCCTTGCCTCCAGAAGCTGTGAATGCTCCAACACTGGAAGTTTTTAAGAAGAGACTGGACGGCGATTTGTCTGTGATGGTATAGGGCAGGGGTAGGCAACCTTGGCTCTTTTATGACTCGTGGACTTCAACTCCCAGAATTCCTGAGCCAGCATGGGGGAACTATGGCCCCCTCATGACTTGTGAACTTCAACACCCAGAATTCCTGAGCCAGCATGGGGGAACTGTGGCCCCCTCATGACTCGTGGACTTCAACTCCCAGAATTCCTGAGCCAGCATGGCTCAGATTGGAAACCTCTCCCTTTTCCCTCAGCGTGGCTGGCTCAGGAATTCTGGGAGTTGAAGTCCACGAGTCATACAAGAGCCGAGGTTGCCTACTCCTGGTGTAGGGTTTTCTGCCTGAGCAGGGGGTGGGCCAAGATGACCTTCAAGGTCCCTTCCAACTTTATTATTATTATTATTATTATTATTATTATTATTATTATTATTATTATTGTTGTTGTTGTTGTTGTTGTTGTTGTTGTTGTTATTATTATTATTATTATTATTATCATCATCATCATTATCATTATCATTAAAAAAGGTTGTAAAGTAGAATAAAACTCACTTAACAAATCTTTCACTTAGCAACATAAATTTTGGGCTTAATTATGGCTGTCAGTTGAGAATTACCTCTATACTATTTAATCACAAGTTTGTACTATAATGGAATGCAGAAGTTTTTCTGCCTTAGCTACCAAATTGCTGCAATTTTCTAACCACAAAATACAAACTTTCTCAGGCTGGAGTAATAAATGATTATTCAGCTGTATGTACTGACTGTGTCAATAAAAGGCAATTGTGTCTTTTTTAACAATGACTCCGTGGGACTCAGGAGGTTTTTCCCCAGACTGTAATACAATATTCATATCAGGGGTTCTGCTTAAATATTATTGGGTGCTGGATTTTTATGATGTAACTGGATAAAGATGACTTTATCAATCAAAAATGCTCCTTTGTACTTTTCCTGCTATGATAAACACAGAGAGTCCTCAATTTATGAACCCAGAATTTGCCTGGCTGAGACAGCTGTTAAGTGAGCTTTGCCCTATTTTACCACCACATTAAACCACAGTTGTTAAGTGAACCATGCAGTCGTTAAATGGGTAACATAGTTGTTAAGTGAAGCTGGCTTCCCCATGGACTTTGCTTGTCAAGAAGGTTGTAAAAAAGGGAATCATGTGACCCTGGGACACCGTGACCGTCATAAACGTGAGTCAGTCGCTAAGTGTCCGAAATTTTGATCATGTGACCCTGGGGATGCTGCAACAGTCATATGTGTGAAAAACGGTCATAAATCACAGTGCTATCGTAACGTTGAGCGGTCACTAAACAAACGGTCGTAAATCTAGGACTACCTAAATATATAATAATAATAGTAGTAGTAGTAATAGTAATAATAATAATAATAAAGTTGGAAGG